ACTATGGTCGGCCGGCGACCTCGTCATCTAGAGATGTAAAAAAAAAGAAAAGAAAAGAGAATAGGGAAAAGAAAAGGAAAATAAAGGAAAAATTAATAATAAAAACATTCTAAAAAATATTAAAATATTATAGCATAAATAAATGCACAGAGATCGAGTCTTGATGAGACCAACTGGACTCCTTCTCCGGTACTTGATTTTGTAAATGGTTTTGCATATCTGCGGTGCCTTTTTAATGAAATAAGTTATCTATTAGGATTTCACAAAGTGTCCTTCTTTCAGTTTAAGGAGGATATTATGTTTCCTATTTCAATCAGGCTACTTGTTTAGAGGTTTCCTATTTCAACTAGAAGTCGAATATTTAGAGTCCATATATGGGTTGTAATTCTTTCTTTCAATAGAGTTGACGATTAATTGAAACTGGCAATTCTTTGCGTTGGTATTGCATGATGCAATTTTTTTCTTAGGTGTGTTGCTTAAGAAAACCTAGATAACTTTTAGGAAGCTTTGGGTGTGATGCCTAAAGAATTTACTCGTTCTGAGTAATTCTTCGTCTGAATTTCTCTTCAAATTCTCAATTGATTGGGCTCGCTACCATGGGACTTGCCGTCCTACATCAATTATGAGCTGGAAAATCCCCTACATGAGGCATTTTCGGTGCTCACATGTTAAATAAAGAACACACAAATTAGTCACACGTAGATGATCAACCTCACATTTACCGTCCAATAAACCTCTAACCTGTTTCCTCTCAATAATCTATATGTTCTCGCTTTCTTAATCAAAGCTTCAATGCTATTACTTTTCTTCCTAGTCAGAAAGTTCACATATCTTCCTCTTCTCTCAACATCTTTCCACCCTAAACTCTTCCCTAAAATATTTGAATGACTCGTTCTAAACTCATCCTTCTAACAATTGTTTTTGGTACTTGAGTTAGCTTCTTCAACCCTTCCCTTTCTACTTCAAGTACTCTCTACTGGTTCTAAACATTTTTTTTTCTCAAATATAGGTGACGTCACAACTGAATCTCTTTGACCAAAGTATCAGGATTATTTGGGCAAGTTAAGTCTTGCTTACTAGAGAGGACTTTGTCCGATTACATCACTTTGTAAACCAATAGGTGCAGGACAAGCAGAGCAGCCACTGGACTGAGAGACTATTAGAGCCCCTTGAAGTCAATAAAGAACCAACAATGTGGTCAACATGCTCCTACTGCTACAAGAATTCTACATTTATTCTTTGTTTTCATTTAAATTGGCATTTGTTCTCTCTGTAAAGGTCACATTTCTGTCTCAACTGCAGGTCAAATTTCCACACCCTTAATATATATACACACATATATGTATGTATGTACTTTATATATGCATGGAGAGAGATGTTGAAAAATGACTTACATGAGTTTAAACTATATATGAAGAGTCCACAGGTAGAATAGGTAAGTGGTAATAGTGGGTAAGGCATTGACATAAAGCTCCACCAACAGGAGCTGGAAAAGGTGTAGAGTTGAGAGGCTGAGCTTAACAAAAGATAAAATGGGTGAGACTGGAAGAGCAGAAAAGAAGCTAAATTTTATGCACCACTATAGTGTGTCTTCATCGACAATATGTGGGGTTTTTTTTTGGGGGGGTCAAACGACAAGCTGTGGGGTTGACTTGAAATTTTGTGTATAAGTGAGATTGGAAGTGCAGGAAAGAAGCTAAGTTTTACGCACCACCATAATGTGTCTTTATTGACTAGATGCGGGATCCACTTTGAAACTTTGTGAATTCATACTGTGTGTGAGCTCATAAGCCAAGCAAATAAAACATTATACATACTGCACCGAAAGACACTTTGCTTTTATCACTGCCACCAACTAATAGATTGCAACACCTGCTCAATTTTGTTAAACTCTTCCCTTTTACCATCTTCCAGGGCATCTCCACTCAGAACTGCTCCCGTTATTTGGTCTGCGACAATATTATTTCAAATCCGAATGTCAACCAAACTCATTACAAAGTATGAGCACTCCACTATGTACCCATAAACTTGTTTTTGCAGCTAAAAAAGTGAAAACAAGATGAGATCAAATCATCGAAATGACAATGATATAAAGTGAACATTCAAGACAGTCATCATACAAAGAGGAAAAAAAGTGATCAAAGACAAATGTTTTACTCACTTTTCACTACACGTTTTTGAGCATCGCTTAGCATGTTCGAATCAGGCGACTCTTGAAGAGCTTTAAAAGCACTGTAAATAGGTTTACCTTCTCTGCCTGAATTGTAAAAAGCAAAACAAGCCAATGTAAGCATCAAGATTCAAGACTTGGACAACCATGAAAGCTAAATGGATACACCAGGCGCATTGCATGCTAGAGTGAAACAGATACTTATCTAAAAGCAACAAGAGTGGCCATCTCTTACTCCATAACACACTTAAGTCTCCTTCACTCCTTTTCATCATTCAATAAATCATTTCAAACCAACACCAAGTGAAAGAAATTACCTGGACTTCCTCTATCGCAGCACGTAGATCAGCTGTATTCTTAACATCCTCGAGATGACTGATTATTCCCCATACCATATTCAATCGATCCACAATCTTCTCCAATGGCTCCACGAGCTTCGGCCACGACGGTTCCACCATACTCTCCAATTTCTCCAGATCACTCTCTTGCGGCATAACCATAAACACATTACAAACGCCAGGACCTCAAACAACAATATCAACAAACAACAATCAAACGACAGAGACAAAAGATCATTCATACGAGCTTCTTCAAGAGAGCAAGAATCCCAGGACGGACGTGCTTGGCCTTGATAGCGTCGAACGGGGGAAACTCGAAGTCCTGCAAGAGAGGATTGCTCTCAACGTGGGCATCGGCCACAGGCGGAGCTCGGGGAGCGATCGGCAGAGTGGAGGCGGAGGAGCAGGTGGTGGAGAGGGCGAGAGAGGTGGATGGGCGGGGGCTCTGTAAGCAGAAGGAGAAGGAGGAGGACCAGAGAGGGCAAGGGAACGACTTCTTCAAGAGAGAATGGTGTCTGGTGTATTGATGAAGATGATGACGATCATGGTGGACAGAGCAAGAGAGAGCGATGCAGGTCATACAAGCCATGAGCATGAGCATGTTGACTATAATAAGGAAAGTGGCCGTCGACACTGAGCCTGTGGCTAAGGCCCTCTTTGGGATGCGCTTCATTTCGCCTTTCTTGGCGGAATGGAGGCAGAGGAGCAGGTGGTGGAGAGCGAAAGAGATGGATATGCGGGGCTCTGGAGGCAGAAGGAGAAGGAGGAGGACCAGAGAGGGCAAGGGAACGACTTCTCGGAGAGAGAATGGCGTCTGCCTGCATTACAAAATTAAGTCAATGTAAGCATCAAGATTAGAAAACTACGAAAGCCAAACAAGAAAAGATAACGATTGACCAGCAGATGGCATGCACTAGTGAAACAAATAATAATCTAAAAGCAAAAGGAGAGCCCATCTCTCACTCCAGAACACACTTAACTCTTCTAACATCACCCCTTTTCATCACTCAATAAATCATTTCAATAACTATTCAACAGATCCTAGTCCAAGTGAATCAACACAAGTGACCTGGACATCCTTCATCGCTGCACGCAGCTCAGTTTTATCCTTGATGTTCTTGAGATGTTTGATGATCCCAGACCTCATCCAATCTATCCACAATCTTCTTCAACGGCGAGCTTCGGCCACGACGGCTCCACCATCCTCGCCAGTTCTTCCAGATCACTCTCCTGCGACACATTACAAACACAAATACCTCAAACAACAATCTCAACAAACACCGAACAGAGGATCATTCATACCAGTTTTTTCAAGAGAGCGTGCATCCCAAGACTGACGTGCTTGTGGTCGAATGGGAACTCAATGTCCTGCAAGAGCGGATTGCTCTCAACGCCAGCGTCGGCCATGGGCAGAGCTTGGGGAGCGATCGGGAGAGTGGAGGCAGGGGAACAATAGGTAGAGAGGGAGAGAGATGTTTCTTCAGGGGTTTTGGAGGCAGAAGGAGGAGGAAGAGGACCAAAGGGGGCAAGGGAACGACGTTTTGGAGAGAGAATGGTGTGTCGCGAATCGATGAAGATGATTACATCCATGTTGGACATGTTGGAGAGAGAGCGCAACGGTAAATTCTCTTCTTGAACAGGATCAAATAGTTTTTCTTTTTGTTGCCTTTCTAATCAATTAACATACAGGATGAGAGAGAGTCTGACAATCTGTAATGGATGCTGGATGGTTCCATTCGCGTGTGCACTGGACATTCACGTGGACAAAATCTATTTGAAAGAGAGAGATTGTCATCACCTTGTCCATGAAATGGCCGACACAGGGGGAAATCGTATTGTCCATGATCATGGGTACATCGGACACAATTCGCTGCCTAGTCTAAAACTTTGTCCAATTTTCACGTAGCTTAAGAAAAAAAAAATAAGGCATCTAACGAAATTTCGACGAAAAATAAATAATTTATAATTTTTATATTACAAAAAAATTTTAAGGTAAATATGTCAAAATAATTATAATTTAAAAAAAATTGTATTTTTCTCTGTCGTCAAACAATATTATATTTTCATTTTCAGCATTTAAATAATAATTCATTTAACGAAATTTTAATGAAAGATAAATAATTTATAATTTTTTATATTATAAAAAAATTTTAAGATAAATATGTCAAAATGGTTATAATTTGAAATTTTTTGTGACTTTTTTTAATTGTCAAACAATATTGTATTTTCATTTTCAACATTTAACATGGGAAAATTTCAAATAAAGACTCAAAATTGACTTATTTTTTTTTCAAATAAGGGTCAGAAGTGGATGTTGTTTTAAATAAAGATCTGAAGTGGCCTAGTTAGTCTCAAATAAGGACCTCACTTGCCGACCGGCCAAATGTTCGCTGGTGGATATTTTCCGGCGATTAAAATAGGGGTAATTTTGTCCGAAATTTGTAATTGGCTAAAATAATAGGAAAATCCCCAAGTTAAATTAAGTTTAGGTTATGTTTTCAAACGTTTACGTTTTCTTCTTCCTCTCCTACGCTGCTCCTCAACCAAATTGCTGCTCGGTCGCCGCTCGTCGCTCCTGCTCCTCGCAAGCACCAGTTTATCGTTCCCCGTTGTCTCTTCTTTCCAAGGTTTCATTGTCCACAAGCTTCAAGTTCATCATTCGTGTGCACCGCTTGGGAGACCACGACAGCGAGGGGTTGTCTCTCTGGGAGGTGCTTTCCTCGGTCGCCAAGTTCGGCGGCCAGGTAACGGTGACTGCAGTTTAGTCTCATTCTGCTCGTCGATCTCTGTTGCGGATGCTTTCTTTAATCAGATAGTGTGGTTTTTTGTTGTTGGAATTTTAGAGTTCTAGAAAATCTTCGATGCTTGAGAGCAATGTCGGGAGGTTTTTTCTGCCTCGCATTTCTGGTCAATTTGACTTTTGTTAGCAATACACACATTGCTAGTTCATTGAAGCTTGAGAAGGCCGAATTCTCTCTTGGAAGTGTTATGAATGTTGTTGTTAGCCAAGTAATGATATTGCTGAGAGAACGAGGTTTGCAATTGATTCGTGATATTCCAGATGAAATCAAAAATCTGGCTATCTGTGGTAATCAGCTGAGAATTCAACAAGTATTGGATGATTTCTTGTTAAATATGGTGTGACGTGCTCCATCTCCAGGGGGTTGGGTGGAGATTCACGTTCATCCAAGTCTGAAGCAAACTGCTAGAGGACTAAGTCTTGTGCACAACAAATGTATGCGTTCCTTTTATAGATTTCTATTTGTTTTTAGTATGTTCTATGGATCATGCATTGTCAACTATCCTGTTTTTTGAGGTGATCTTATATTCAATGGTGAATGATCAGGACCTGTCTTCCCATCACTCATCACGATTCTTTATTCTTATGAATTCAGGCTTTTGTGATGCAAGACAACGTATTGATAACAACGCTAACTGTGAGAGAAGCTATTCACTACACAAACTCAGCTACAATTGCCAGACTCCATGCCAGTATCCGAGAAGATGGAAAGAGGAGAAATGGTAATAAGGGAAATGGGACTGCAAGATGCCATGGACGCAAGAATTGGAGGCTAGGGGTCCAAAGGACTAAGTGGTAGTCAAGAGAGACGAGTTAGCATTTGCTTGGAAATTGTGACCCACCCGAAGCTTCTCTTCCTTGACGAACCAACCAGTGGACTCGATGGGGCAACATCCTATTATGTCATGAGCAAAATAGCCAGCTTGGACCAAGGAGATGGAATCAGAAGAACTATAATCGCATCAATTCATCAGCCTAGCAGTGTAGTCTTCCGGCTCTTATTGGGTGCTTTAGATTGGTTGTAGTAGGATGGGCTATGATCACTGCATATGATCAGTGGGAGGTTGTTTTGTAAAACTCATCTGTTGTCTTCTCTTTCTTGTAGTGTTGTGCGCACAAATTAAAGTTGTATGCTCTGTTGTTATCTCTTCTTATATTGGAAATATTTAAGTTCAAATTAATTCAAGTGTTTAATAATGAGTTAATGATGATGCTTTTTGGTACCACAAGCTGTCTTTGGTTTCATTTATTTCGGCTGTTCTATATTTTGTCGTGTACATAGATCTTTTTTAAACTGTCTACAAGCTTTGACAGAGCCCATTGATGTTCTATATTTTTTTTTGGCCTATACTACAGGGCATTTTAACTCAGTGTGTTGTTGGACTGCTGTGCTCATTACTCTTTGCAGGTCATTTTTCTTGATGTTGCTGTTCTATATTTTCTTTTTTCTCGTTGGATTGATGAGCTCATTTAAACTTGTTGTCAACACCGCTATACTACAATGAAGTGCTGGGACATTTCATAGCAAAATAAATAACATTAGATAAACTTGAATTGATCCACATTGTACGATGGGAAGGAGAAACATCCCAACACAAGAAATCTTCTCAACATAGTTTACCTATACATACTTTAACTTTAAGATGCTTCCAAAACAGAGCCATCCATATTAACTAATAATAAAACAAAAAGAGTTTGTGTTGTCGGTCTTGTTGTTCTTGCATATCTCAAAAAAGTTGCTCGTCTTTGACCACTTTCATGTTAAGGTACTTACATCCTCCTCTTTACCTACAGTTGAAAATAAATCACCAGTTAAAACAAAGGCAAGTACAAGTAAGAACGATTTTATGACAAAGTCAAGCACAAATAGATACTTGCATCTTCTCTGTTCCCATAGATGATATTCAGATAAGGAGATCACGATACAGACTTCCTTGACATCGAAATTAGTACCGGCAGCAGCACTTCTTCCTCACAATCGATTTAGTACCATACTAACCCATAATTTCTCCCAGTTCTTGTACTTTATTGTTGCTTTCTCGAACCAAATTGTACTTTATTGTTGCTTTCTCGAACCCAATTGTAGGAAATTGCCTTGCATTCTCCTTGTAGTTTAGCAACTCTGATTAATAGTGAGGCGAAGATTGCGTTGTGGCCCGGAAGTCCTTCAACTTTGTTCCTGTTAGACCAAATTTTCCAGCATAGAACATTGAATAGACAATAGAATAAGTTAAAGGGTAAAGGCGTGAACCAAAAAGAGGAAGCAGTAGAGAAAAAGCATTAAGCATGCTTGATTACATGAGGTGATTTGAACCAAGTATAATTGGCAGAGAGAAAAATGATTTTGGTAAAACCATTCACCTTTGGTTTCGACCTTGATTTTCACTGCCAATATGAAGGCAGCATCAAAGAACTCAGCTACTTTCACAAAATCCTCTTCGACAAGAGTACAAAAAGATGGACAAATTCTTAAGTAACCAACCAAAGAACCCTGAACCTGAAAGCACAATCTAGTCCATAAGTAACCAACATAAAAACCCTAAACTTGATATCACAATCTAGTCCATAAGAAGCCTCTACCCATTCTAATGTCACCAGGAACCATGGCAGATACATCTCCTAGAGCTGTGTTTTTGTTGGCAGCAATATGAACAGATTCCATCACCTTTTCAACTCTGGAACCATCAATTCCCTGCAGAGATAAGAAAGCAAAAAGATGGACAAATTGATTCCTATCTTTGATGGGTAAAGGGTAGTACAAGTGAAGTGCCTATCTTAGATGAACTATAATGTTTGCGTAAGTTCATATAAAGAGGAGAATGTGAAGTTCCTGCATTACCTTATTCAAGTTCACTAAAACCAAATGATTTTCAGTCCCCCAGTAACAAGTTCATAAAAAGGAAACAAACAGAGAATTTGAGCACCCACATCTCAAGCAACGAGTACCCACAAACAGAGTAGTTGGGTACTCCACGAACATCTCGACATCGAGTACCCACATCTCGAACACAATTTGAATCAACTTCCACAGACCCAACCGAGAGAGAGAGAGAGAGCATGTCCTTTTAAAACTCGGGGAGTTGGGGATCGTGCTCCATTAATAGAGAATTTTGGTGCTCCAAGTAAGAGGGAAGAAAGAACGTAGAAGACGAAGGGTAGAAGAACAAGAACGCGAAGAATTTGGGCTCTTTTTTTTTTATGTTAATACCACGAAAAACCCAAAACTAGTACATTTATAATAAATTTATCTAAAATTATTTTTTTTACCACAAAAAATCCTAAATTGGAACACCTGTGATAATTTTACCCCGAACTATTTTTTTTACTACAAAAAACCCCACACTGGTACACATGTGACAATTTTATTCCGAATTAATTTTTTGACCATCAAAAACCCCAAAATGGTACACCTCTGACAAATTTACCTTTTGTTAGTTTCCGTTAAATTTTACTGTCAAATTGCTAATTTTGATGACAAGTGGTAGTTGACGAGTGTACCAGTTTGGGGTATTACCCCTCTGTTTGTCACAAGTTTACCAATTTGTGATTTTTCGTGATATTAATCCAATTTAACATATACTAACGGAGGGTAAAATTGTCACAATGGTACCAGTTTGGGGTTTTTAGTAGTCAAAAAATTAGTTTTGGGTAAAATTATCACAGGTGTACCAGTTTGGGATTTTGGTGGTCAAAAAATTAGTTCGAGGTAAAATTATCACAAGTGTACTAATGTGGGGTTTTTTGTGGTAAAAAAAATAGTTCGGGGTAAATTTATCACAGATATACTAATTTGGGGTTTTTGGTGGTCAAAAAATTAGTCCGGGGTAAATTTGTCGCAAGTGTATCAGTTTGGGGTTTTTCGTGGTATTAACCCTTTTTTTCTTTTAGGATTTGTTGGTTTTATCCATATTTTTTTGACAAAATTACCCATATTCCGGTCACCGGAAATGTCACACGCTTGCCGGCCAGCGAACATTTGGCCAGTCGGTGAGTTTAGGTCCTTAGTTGAGACTAATTTAGTCACTTTAGGTCCTTATTTGAGACAATGTTCACTTCGGATCCTTATTTGAGAATATAGTCCCACTTTGAATCCTTATTTGGAATTTTCTCTTTAAATATTTTAACATTTAAAATTCATTTTTTTAGATCTATTAAGCCCAATAATCCAATTAAGCATTTTACCAAACAACTCATTACAAGAGACATAGGGGTGAGCATGGTCCGGGTTAGGCCGGTCCAACACCTAACTCAAGGACTAACCCGCACAGTATTAGTCCCAAATTTTTGGGACTGAGGACTGATCTTGTTAAGCCTGTGACTGAGGACCAAACCGACCCTATGGGTCCAACCAATTATTTTTTTGTTTCATTTTTTGCATTCCTTGTAAGGGCAAACATACTATTTCAAATTATATATCCATTAACAATGCGACGTTAAGCAACCAAATTATGAATACTAGTACATATCAAATATAAATAGAAGATAAGGTAATAACATAAATTTCATATTTGCTAAAAGCAACAAACCATGAAAACGAACACGTGAAATACAATTAAAACTATAAGAAGTTCAAAATACTTAATATAAACTATGAAATATACAACTTCATATCTTGTTCATTCTTAAATGATTCCGAATACCTGAAAACAAAACAAACAAAACACATAATTAATATTTAACAAAGTATGTTTATCTAGCTGAGTTGCGCTAGTGAAGCGAGCAAGGCGAGTGGCGAGGCGAGTGAATCGAGGCAAGTGGCAACCCGAGCGAGGCGAGCAAAGAGAGGTGAGCGAGGGGAGAGGCCAAGGCGAATGAAGAGGGTTTCTATTTTTTTTTTTGTCGAATTAGGGTTGGGTTTCTTTCTAGTTTCTAATTTACACGGCAAATTGAATCGCATTAAGAAAGAAGAGAATAGAGGAGGAAGCGCTAGAGTTTAGAATAGTTAAAAGCATATAATATATAATATCGAATATATACAGGATTGGTCCGAGTTGGACCAATCCTAAACTTCCAGGATCGAGGATCAACCCACACAATGCAGAGTCCTAAGATCCCAAGACCAAGGACTAATCCAGTCTCCCTGGAAACTGGCGCCGGTCTAGGGTCGGTCCAGGATTGACCCTGGACTGATGCTCACCCTTACAAGAGATGGATCACAAACTGATTTGGAGACGAAACTTAATTTCTTATTCGGACTCGACGTACAAAAATAAAAATCTGTACAAGAATTATTCGAGCTGCATTCGCACGCGAACAGAGATGGTGCTGGATTCCATCGCTAAGCCTTCTTGAAGACTCTGAATTTGGAAGGCCCAACAGCTGCTAGTGCACCATCACATGAAATGACCTTCCGCCTTCCTTTTGTCTTTTTGGCCATGTAGTTTTGCATGCTTGATTCGAACTTAAAAAAAAAAAAATATTTGTATCTTTTTGTGAATAGATCATCTCACTAGTTGTCTTGGCTAGGAAAACTTTTGCTCACTCGTAGGATTTATTTAAAGGATCTATCACAGTCATCGACTATACGAAATTAACATGGCTTGATATGTGAAGCTAACTAGATTGGATCTATCAAATTGCTTGCATTTTTTTTTCCTCTTGCATCCTACCTTTCAATCAACTAATTGATTGGCAAGTATAGTGGAAAAATGACATAAATAATTCTTAAACTTTGACCCAATATGCAATTTAGTCCATGAACTTTAACCCAATGTACAATATGATTTATGAACTTTTAATTTATTTAATGTCGCAGAACTTTTGGCACATATTCAATGTAATTCTTGAACTATATAAAAATATTCAATGTAGTCCTTTTATTAATTGAAGTTTAAGGACTACATTGAACATGTAACAAAAATCATTAAACAAATTAAAAATTCAGGGACCACATTGAATATTATATTAAAGTTCATGAACTGCATTGAACAAATTAAAAGTTCATAGATCACGTTGCACAATAGGCCAAAGTTTATGGACTGTTTGTGTCATTATCCCCAAGTATCCACAAAATCATTTCCCTACCGGAGCACCCGAGTTTTCATGCTAATATCCTAATATCATGCACAATCTTTCGCTAGCTAGTCCGACGGACTTAACCAAGCCAATATGATGTCTCGGCCAATAAAAAACATCATATCACATGTTGTGTTAGGCACCGGGCAGTGCCCGAGTGTATATAGACCGCGGTAGACGGGGGCCTGTA